ATGTCAAAGATATGGTTACTTTATCGTCTGTTGTAAATAAACTATACATTTTTGACGATAAGGTTTAAGATGTATTATTCTAAGAGTAATTTTAACGACTTCATGCGAAGGGCCCCATTAATGAATCTCCTAGCTAAGTTTCTTACGCATTTAACAAAAGAGATAGAAATGGTGCTATTACTAAGCTTATTTTATATGGTAACACATACGAGTATAATATTGGGAATGTTAACATCAAAATAGAATTAGCTAAAAATGATAATTACTTAAGTCTTCCAGTTTTAAAAAAATAAAATATTAAGATATACTTGTGGAGTGATAAAATAAACGCTGATGACAAGCATTATACATCTATCGACAAGTTATTGCAAGCTTAAAAATGCTATAATAGTAGCAATAAAATTAAATAGTTCAATCCTTGATATACACATAGGCTCGGTATTTAAAATACTTATGGAAAGACAGTTAACAAAAAATTTTTTAATGTGCTTTTTATGATAATAATACTAAGAATAATTAAATAAAAATCAAAAGCCTCACACTATTAGAGGTTCGTGGAAGCTGGTCACCATCTCGGTCCTGATGCACCAGTTGCACATTGCCGTCCCATGCTGGTTTAATGCTGGCTGCTATACTGTTTTGGAATGTCGCCGTAGTCTGTCTGGCCGCATTTAATCCAGCTTGGCAGCCGTGCAATTCTATTGCAAGCAGGCGTGGCCGGGCTATTCGCTTAGTTTGCCGACTTCCCGGGTCAAAGACGTCAAATAAGACGTCAGGTCGCAGTGGTGAGCTGGAGGAGATAGGATGACCACAAGCAACGCTACCATTCTCCTGAGCTGTGCTTAGCTCACCAACCAGCCAAGTCCACCAATGTGCACCAAGCCAATTAGCCAACCTACCAGCCTGGAGAATATTCCACTCCCCGCCGCCAGACTAGGCATTAATAGGCGAAAATAAGAAATAAAGTCAAGATGAAATAACAGAGGTATGGGAAAGGAATATGTCTGGGAATAATTTAATCGATAACAAAAAGTAGTAAAGCTTAGATATATACAATAAATGAAGATACGTATACATCGTACTATAGCCGATAACACAAAAACGAATAGTGCTAGGATCTGGCAAAGCTCTGTTGTTGAATGTGAAGAGCATAAATCTTGAGTAGTAAATTTTTCAGAATAAAAAACATCGAATATGCCAGCCATCGAGACGGTGAATAAGGGCTCAGCAAAACTTGGTTGTCTGAATCAAGCAACCGGCATACTTCTGATGGAAATGATTAAGCTAGAATATCTAGTGACTCTTAGACTAACTAAGATAAAGTAATAAGATCCAATAAAATAGAAAAAATATTTTCCCATATATTTGTTAAAGTAAAAAATTAATGTGACTTTGAGACATACAGCAGAATGAAAAATGTATGGGTATCTTGGATAAAAAATATAAAAAGTAATTTTATTTCATAAAGTATATTTTCATCGTATGAAATCGAGATAAAAAAGAATAATGGAAAAGTTGTACAAAAAAAGCATGGATAAAAAGCGTGCTATT